TAGAACTGAACTAGAACTGAACTAGAACTGAACTAGAACTGAACTAGAACTGAACTAGAACTGAACTAGAACTGAACTAGAACTGAACTAGAACTGAACTAGAACTGAACTAGAACTGAACTAGAACTGAACTAGAACTGAACTAGAACTGAACTAGAACTGAACTAGAACTGAACTAGAACTGAACTAGAACTGAACTAGAACTGAACTAGAACTGAACTAGAACTGAACTAGAACTGAACTAGAACTGAACTAGAACTGAACTAGAACTGAACTAGAACTGAACTAGAACTGAACTAGAACTGAACTAGAACTGAACTAGAACTGAACTAGAACTGAACTAGAACTGAACTAGAACTGAACTAGAACTGAACTAGAACTGAACTAGAACTGAACTAGAACTGAACTAGAACTGAACTAGAACTGAACTAGAACTGAACTAGAACTGAACTAGAACTGAACTAGAACTGAACTAGAACTGAACTAGAACTGAACTAGAACTGAACTAGAACTGAACTAGAACTGAACTAGAACTGAACTAGAACTGAACTAGAACTGAACTAGAACTGATAGAACTGAACTAGAACTGAACTAGAACTGAACTAGAACTGAACTAGAACTGAACTAGAACTGAACTAGAACAGAACTAGAACAGAACTAGAACAGAACTAGAACTGAACCAGAACTGAACTAGAACTGAACTAGAACTGAACTAGAACTGAACTAGAACTGAACTAGAACTGAACTAGAACTGAACTAGAATTGAACTAGAACTGAACTAGAACTGAACTACAACTGAACTAGAACTGAACTAGAACTGAACTAGAACTGAACTAGAACTGAACTAGAACTGAACTAGAACAGAACTAGAACTGAACTAGAACTGAACTAGAACTGAACTAGAACTGAACTAGAACAGAACTAGAAACAGAACTAGAACAGAACTAGAACAGAACTAAACAGAACTAGAAACAGTAACTAGAACAGAACTAGAACAAATAGAACGAACTAGAACAGAACTAGAACAAACTAGAACAGAACTAGAACAGACTAGAAAGAACTAGAACAGAACTAGAACAGAACTAGAACAGACTAGAACAGAACTAGAACAGAACTAGAACTAACTAGAACAGAACTAGAACATAACTAGAACAGAACTAGAACAGACTAGAACAGAACTAGAACAAACTAGACAAACTAGAACAGAACTAGACAGAACTAGAACAGAACTAGAACAGACTAGAACAGAACTAGAACAAGAACTAGAACAGAACTAGAACAGAACTAGAACAGAACTAAACAGAACTAGAACAGAACTAGAACAGAACTAAACAGAACTGAACAGAACTAGAACACTAGAACAGAACTAGAACAGAACTAGAACAGAACTAGAACAGAAACTAGAACGAACTAGAACAGAACTAGAACAGAACTAGAACAGAACTAGAACAGAACTAGAACAGAACTAGAACAGAACTAGAACAGAACTAGAACAGAACTAGAGACAGAACTAGACCAGAACTAGAACAGAACTAGAACAGAACTAGAACAGAACTAGAACAGACTAGAACAGAACTAGAACAGAACTAGAACAGAACTAGAACAGAACTCGAACAGCAACTAGAACAGACTAGAACAGAACTAGAACAGAACTAGAAAACAGACTAGAACAGAACTAGAACAGAACTAGACAAACTAGAACGAACTAGAACAGACTAGAACAGAACTAGAACAGACTAGAACAGAATTAGAACAGAACTAGAACAGAACTAGAACTGAACTAGAACTGAACTAGAACTGAACTAGAACGAAACTGAACTAGAACTGAACTAGAACTTAACTAGAACTGAACTAGAACTCAATTAGAACTGCTTCTTGTTATTGTATTATTTAATTACAATCTATAATTTTGTGTATGTTGGGTTGATGTACATATATGTTTATAGATACATCTGACTACATTTACACACTTATACGTATATTTATTATATCTGTACATTTATACACCATTTTATAGTTATTTTCAATATAGTTTTCTCTTTTTTATTTTATTATTTTTCTCTACAACGACAAGACAAGTCGTCTGTCTCTCTGTGTCAGAGGAAGCGAAAAATCAGCTGAATGTGATGCTTGCAATAAAATCTCTATAAAATGTATATGATTTCAAGCTTTTGTGGTTGAAAAGATTTAATATACATATGTATGTATATTAATATAAATATGAGAATAACTGTGTGTATCAAGCAGCTACAATATAAATTGGTATTTATAGCGGTGGTTTTGTTGTATACACTCATGGAAATGTAAAAAATTTAAATCGTTTTACAAATTAAAGATACCTTGTATATCTGTATATATGATAGTTTAATCTAGGACTTGATTTTATTAAGGTTTTTGGGAGTTTTGTACAGTTGTCTATTGCCAGACGGAAGGACGTATGCTGCTTCCAGATTTTATATGTTTTAAATACAACATTTTTCGAGTGTAATTATTTGCCTTCTTGTATAAAATTTATGCAAAATTTTATTATTAAATTGTATATTAAGCCATTAAAGAAATGACTTAATGTAGTAATGAATAAATGAATAAACAAATGACTGATACAACTGTGAATACAAATGAGAACTACAGCCACAGACATCTTTGAATAAAAATTCAAATATTTGAAGAATTGTTATGTTGAAAGGGAGCGAAGGAGGATGTAAATCAATAGTTTTACTACCTTTTGAAACATTTTTACTTTTCTTGAGATTATCTTTAGTAAAACTTACCATAAAGTCTTATAATGCCATCCGTTTCACCGCGAGGATTTTTGGCCACACATTTGTAGATGCCATCATCACCACTGCCCACATTTAAAATTGTCAATTTCATATGGGTTTTATAAACAGGCACTCCAATGCTAGATTCCACTCTAAAAGAAAACAATATTTAAAATATTCAATATAAAAACATAAAATGTAAAACTTACTTGTATTTACTGGAATCGTGTATAATTGGTCCTTCGCCTCTGGTCCAATAATTTAAGGAGGTAGGATGAGCCTCGGTAAAGCATTCGATTGTAACATTGAAACCTTCAGGGGCACCCACCAATTGATGTGGTATCAACAGCATAGGGGGAACTGAAATGTAAATAAAAAGTCATAAAAATATAAAAGTTAAATCAACAAAAAAAGGTTAAACCCAAAACCCAAAACACAAACCCCAAACCACTAACCACAGCAGCCTCTGCTAATTTGATTAATTTCATTTAAATACTTAACAACAGCCTAAAGAAAAATATTTAAATTTAAAACATAATCAAAAACGGAAACTTTTTCTTTCTTTTCAAATTTCATAGTTTCCCCGCAGAATTTCTATTCATGGTTTTTTGTTTTTAACTTAGATAAAAATCTAAGAAATCAATTATGGAAATTACATTAAAAATCAGCTTTAAATGTATTTGTTCTATTTCTGCACCTTCTACATGCAAAACATGTCATTACCCATTTTATTTTCTTCTAAATAAAAAAGATTTAAACAAACCTGCTGAAAGCAGCAGCAAACTTTTCTTAAGATTAAAAAAACACAAAACTAAATACATCTTCTTTATTTTCCCAACATATTACTAAGTTTTGAAAAATATTACTTATTCTATCTCTTTTCTCTCTTACATTTACTATAGCTAAGAGTTTTCCGCAGACTTAAAGGAAACTTTTTTGTCATGCTTAAAAAAAGTAAATTTTTCATTTAAATAAGCATCTTGATTTTTACATAATTCACAGCACATATTCCTTACTTATATTGGTGGTTTTAAGTAAACTTATCCTGCTCTTTATCACTTGTTTTTAAGGACCTTCCTTCTAGGAAGACAAAACCCATAAAATGAAACTCGTTCGCAGAAAGCTACAAAACAAATATTTCCTTTTATTATAATTCATAAGTAAGTCTTAGCCTTATTTCTTTAGCATATAGTTTTTGGTATTGTGTCTAGAGTTGTAAGAAGATGAAAAGAAAAATCTTAAAGAAATTGTTATGCATAGTTTGAAAAGGTATAAAATTAACCCAGCAAAGGCGACAATAAATATAATTTTGTTCTATTCTTCTTCCTAGTTCTGTTCTAGTTCTGTTCTAGTTCTGTTCTAGTTCTGTCTAGTTCTGTTCTAGTTCTGTTCTAGTTCTGTTCTAGTTCTGTTCTAGTTCTGTTCTAGTTCTGTTCTAGTTCTGTTCTAGTTCTGTTCTAGTTCTGCTCTAGTTCTGTTCTAGTTCTGGTTCTAGTTCTGTTCTAGTTCCGTTCTAGTTCTGTTCTAGTTCTGTTCTAGTTCTGTTCTAGTTCTGTTCTAGTTCTGTCTAGTTCTGTTCTAGTTCTGTTCTAGTTCTGTTCTAGTTCTGTTCTAGTTCTGTTCTAGTTCTGTTCTAGTTCTGTTCTAGTTCAGTTCTAGTTCTGTTCTAGTTCTGTTTCTAGTTCTGTTCTAGTTCTGTTCTAGTTCTAGTTCTGTTCTAGTTCTTGTTCTAGTTCTGTTCTAGTTCTGTTCTGTTCTAGTTCTGTTCTAGTTCTGTTCTGTTCTGTTCTAGTTCTAGTTGTTCTAGTTCTGTTCTAGTTCTGTTCTAGTTCTGTTCTGTTCTAGTTCTGTTCTAGTTCTGTTCTAGTTCTGTTCTAGTTCTGTTCTAGTTCTGTTCTAGTTCTGTTGTAGTTCTGTTGTAGTTCTGTTCTAGTTCTGTTCTAGTTCTGTTCTAGTTCTGTTCTAGTTCTGTTCTAGTTCTGTTCTAGTTCTGTTCTTGTTCTGTTCTTGTTCTGTTCTAGTTCTGTTCTAGAGTTCTTTTTTATGTTTTTACGGGTTAATTAATTCACTTTTTAAGTTGCTAGCGAAAAAAGAGTAAAAACATTTCTTTTCAAAATAAGTTTATAATACAAAATTTCAGAAATATGAGAAAGCCGCAAAAATTAAGAAAAATTTTAATGTAAATCTTGAAAAACAAAATGGGTGGTAATTATCATTATTTTTTTTTTATAAAAAAAACATAAGTAGGTATTCATGGCTGAAAACAAACAGAAAAAAGTGTGATATTTCTGCATCATATGATTCTTAATTAAAAAATAAATTTGTCACCTACAACCTACTTATACAGCCATCATCAGCTACATCTTCCTTAACATCTAGAGAGAAAAAGTATCGTTACAAACAATATAAAACCCCTTTTCAAATCTTTAACCATAAAATATTAATGAATGACTTGAAAAGCAAAAAAAAAAATTGTTGGAATAAGGATTATTTTTTCATTGTTTCTCTACAGGCTGCTACAGTTATTTTTTATTTTTGTGTTAAAAAATACTTTTGTTTATTACGAATTATTTTCCGTGAATTTTTTTATGATTTTTTTGTTAAGTAATTTTTTCCTGTTTGTTTTTTTGTCATTAACTTTATTACCTGTTTAAAAATGGTTTGACAACAAGGACAATTATAATATGTACTAATACTGTGAGGACAAGACAGCACGAAAAAAAGGGACAATAATGTTGAATGCTTTCAATGAGGTTGTTGTCCAACGAAACTTATTAACAAAATGAAATTCTGTTTTCGAGGATTGTTTTTTGTGAATTTTTTTCTGCCACTAATTACCGCAGCATGGTGTTCATGAAGAGTCCTTTCATTGAGAAAAAAGGGTTTTATTTTTGTGTGTTTTTTTGTGTAAATTACAAATTTATTGTTAAGTGGGTTTAAATGTTGTTCAGTTGTCCTTTTTATGCTAAGCAGAGCAGTGTAGAGCAGTGGACAGGAAAGTGTAGTTTTATTTTATGTTTATTATTTTATGATTTTATTAATATTAAAATGCTGTATAATCAGTGTTGGTAGATTATTTACTTTAATCAAATGACTGCTCGAGAGAATTTTTATAAATTAACTGACAAAAAAGGCAAAAATTAACAATTCAAAATAATTTATATTGTTGAAAACACAATGAAGACTTTTGCAAAAAAAAAAAACCCAGGATTTATATGAAAAAAATCATTAAGCAGAATTATAAATAATGCAAATTCATTCATCATGGAGTTAAGCAATTAAGGTGGAAAAAAAAACTATTTTTAAGAGGAAAGCTACATTTTTGGAAAAGGCCTTGGAAAAGGTTATTTTGCCGATATTCCCAGGGGTCGGTATATAATTTGTACAGCCTCAACAGCTAAAACTCCTTTATAGTTACAGTTTAGCTAGGACGCTTCTAACAGGCTCATTGACCAGTTTTTCACTTTATGAAAATCGTTTTTGTAGATTTTTTATATTTTTTCTTAAAATCAAACTAATCTTTTTTAATTAACTTAAAAACCCCAATACCGATTTTTAACAAATACCAAAACCAATCACATACCAAGAACATATTCCTCAAATTAATAATAATATTTTCATTGTAGTTTATACAAAGTTGTTGCATTTTTATTAGTTTTTAGTTTTCTTTTCCATTTATTTCGTTTTTTCCTCCCTTTCTCTCTGGTTCTATTGTTTGTGGTTGAATTGTTTGTTGAGATTTATCAATTTTTATAAGCACTATTTGTTTGCTTTACAAAATCCTTGGTTTTTTTCTAAATTCTACTCTATTCTGTTCTATTTTGTTTAGTTTTATACAATTTTTTCCTTTCCTACCAAGAAAAACTTTAAGCATCTTCTTCATCTTTAAATTAAATGTGTGTGTAAGGATATCTATGTGTATGTAAGTATGAGTATTTTAAAGAAATGTTAGTCTGTTAGTATTTGCTTCAATGACTTTGATTTGTAGTTGTTTGTTTTTTTTCCTCCTTTAGTCGACTTTCGTCCTACTTTACTCCTTTATTTGGGTATTGTTTATGTTTGTGTTGTATTAGTTCCAACTATAGACCAACAACAATTGTTTATTTGTTTGTTTATCTACTTATTTGTTATTGTTGTTTTCTTTTCTGTTTTTTTTTGTACTCTCAGTTAGTAGAAGTCTCTAGTAGAACATAATAATATACTGCTAACCATACATAACATACACAAGGGTAAATACTTACATGCAAACACTTGTGTCTGTGCTTAAACAGAGTAACAATTTATACATTTGAAATTCGTCAATAATTAATTTTTAAAAATAGTTATGGAAAATTCAAAATAAAGTGAACCACACCCACTTAAACAGCGTTTGAAAAAAGTAAATTTTACCAATTGTTACGTAAAACTGTCATTATCTACACAAAATGTAAATTTTACATAAAAATTTTTATCAACTGGTATTTGTTACTCCAAAATGTAAATTATGCATCATAATGTAAATTATGCATCATAATGTAAATTACATAAAAATGTAAATTTTACTTTAAAATGTTAATTTTACTTCAAAATGTAAATTTTACATCAAAGTGTAAATTTTACTTCAAAATGTAAATTTTACATCAAAATGTAAATTTTACTTCAAAATGTAAATTTTACTTCATAATGTAAATTTTACTTCAAAATGTAAATTTTACTTCAAAAAGTAAATGTTACATCAAAATGTAAATTTTACATCCAAATGTAAATTTCACATCAAAATGTCAATTTTACATGAAAATGCAAATTGTACATGAAAATGTAAATTTTACTTAAAGTGAAAATTTACAACAAAAAGTAAATTTTACTTAAAATGAAAATTTTACATCAAAATGTAAATTTTACTTTGAAAGGTGTGGCTTGCGGTAGGTTAGTGGTTAGTGTTGTATTCTCGTAGACCAAAGATGGTGGGATTCCACCTGTGGCACTCGTTAAGGAGCGCACTAACTAACTAACTAACTAACTAACTAACTAACTAACTAACTAACTAACTAACTAACTAACTAACTAACTAACTAACTAACTAACTAACTAACTAACTAACTAACTAACTAACTAACTAACTAACTAACAACTAACTAACTAACTAACTAACTAACTACTAACTAACTAACTAACTACTAACTAACTAACTAACTAACTAACTAACTAACTAACTAACTAACTAACTAACTAACTACTAACTACTAACTAACTAACTAACTAACTACTAACTAACTAACTAACTACTAACTAACTAACTAACTAACTAACTAACGACTAACTAACTAACTACTAACTAACTAACTAACTAACTAACTACTAACTAACTAACTAACTAACTAACTAACTAACTAACTAACTAACTAACTAACGAACTAACTAACTAACTAACTAACTAACTAACTAACTAACTAACTAACTAACTACTAACTAACTAACTAACTAACTAACTACTAACTAACTAACTAACTAACTAACTAACTAACTAACTAACTAACTAACTAACTACTACTAACTAACTAACTAACTAACTAACTAACTAACTACTAACTAACTAACTAACTAACTAACTAACTAACTAACTAACTAACTAACTAACTACTAACTAACTAACTAACTACTAACTAACTAACTAACTAACTAACTAACTAACTAACTAACTAACTAACTAACTAACTAACTAACTAACTAACTAACTAACTAACTAAC